AGTGGGCATGTCTTTAAGGGCATCTTCTTGCTTAATGATTGATTTGGGGCTGGAGAGATGGCTCAGCGGTTAAGAGCACTGGCTGCTCCTCCAGGGGTCCTGAGTTCAAGTCTTAGCAACCACATGGTGGCTCACAGCCATCTATAATGGGATCTGATGCCCTCCTTCTGACATGCTGGCATACGTGCAGAGAGGGCATTCATATACATAAATAATAAATAAATAAATACTTAAGGATTGATGTGTAAGAGTCCAGCCCACAGTGGGTGGGGCCACCCTGGCACATGGTCCTAGGAGCTGGCCTTGAGCCAAGAGGGCGAGTCAATAAGCAGGAGTCTTCCCTGCCTTTGCTCCAGCTCCTGCCTCTCCATTCCTGCTTGAGTTCCTGTCCTGATTCTCTCCATAACGGACCATGGCAGGGAAGTGTAAGACGGAATGAACCCTTCCCTCCCCAAGTGGCTTCTCGTCTTGGTGTTTTCCCACAGGAGCAGATAACCAACCTGACCAACATGGTGGCATGGAGGTGGCTTGGGAGTACTGCAGAGACCTGGTCGCACCGCCAGCCATCGGACCACCCAGTCCTGGACAGGAGCTCAGGACCCCAGGGGGAATCTCTGTCTCAGGGAGCCAAGGGTTCTCACCAGCCTCATCTCAACCACCTCACCAGGCCCCCTCCCAAACAATTCCTTTGGAACTTCGAATCTTTAACTCCCGGTCCATTGCTGCTCCTTTCTCACGGGTCTCCAAACCCCACAGCAGTCTGTCCCAGACACCTCTGTCCCTCTCCTTCATCCGTCGGCGGCACGCAGAGGTCTTCTCATAGCAGGTGACCAGAACTTTCTCATTCATTCCTTCAGCAAGGGCAGCTGTGCCGGCTACTGCCCATGCCTGGTCTCCCCACCCCAGGCCCTCAGTCTAAGCCAACATGTGGGTGCTGGGAATTGAACTCGGGTCCTTTGGAAGAGCAGCCAGTGCTCTGAACCTATCAGCCATCTCTCAAGCCCCTGCCCTCCGTCTAAGCCAGCTCACCCGCCTGCAGGGCTCATAACAACTTGGCCGTTTCTGTCGGAGTCACAACTCAGTGGTAGAGCATTTGCTTAGCACGCATGGGTCCAATGCTGTAAAGAAACAACCTGGGCACCCCCTCCCTACTTTTCTCAAGCCTAGACTACCACAGCATTGGTTACGGCTAATAATGCCTTTGCCTAGCATACGATAGCGTGATGAATGAGAGACGGTGAAGTCTCTGTCCCGCAAGGGACATCCAATACATCCTCAATAAGCACTCACTGATGGCAGAATGAAGGAGAGTGACAAGGGGGTTGGCCCTGGGAGTGTGACACAAGAGTCATTTGATTCCAAGTTTCAACACTGACAATCGCAGTTTAGTTCAAATAAACGTCACTCACCAAAGCCAGCCAGGTTTGACAGGAAAAGGATACCATATACCGTTACTGTCACCAGACCTCCCCCCAAAGTACTGGCTCCCCTGAAGCAGGGTTTTCCAGCTGGGGAGAAAGAATGAGAATCTCAGCCTGCCAGCCGGGCAGGCAGCTATGTCTGACACCCCCAGCCCAGGGCCTACATCCGGGTACTCTGTGAGAGTAGGACCAGGGCTGCTTCTGGATGTTGGCCCACAGGGACACAGACTTGTCCGGCTTCCCGACAGCATTAACTGCTCCTCTGATTTCCTAACCACCCACGATCAAGTCCCAGCGGCAAGTCTGTCTGCAACACCAGATCACAAATGACAGGTAGTTTTGCAGAGGGTAGAAGTCACAGTTCCTTCACACTAGCGATGTGTTAGCCACATCCTCTGCCACAGCAATTTACTAACTGTAGGGTCACTTAGCCTTCAGCCAATAAGAAGTGAGCCGAGGTCTCCCTATCCTCTGCCACCTGAGCTCAGGAAGCTGTCCCCAGGTTACCTGAGCCAGGGAGCCTCCTCTATTCAGGGGCAGCTTTTTCTTGGGAGGAGAAAAAAAAAAAAAAAAAACAACAGCTGCTCTGAAGTCAGACAAATCCAGCAAGGACTCCAAGGACAAAGCTCCAGGAGCCTCTCTGGCCACCACAGTGTCACAGGAAGGCTGCCCACCTCCCACAGGCATCCTGATACTGATGCTACGTATGCACACAGCCAGCATCTTTACTCATCTACTTTATTTTTGGCTGTCCCTCTGCACTGCTGTCTTGACCTCCTCGGGCCAGCATTATATAAACCTCCTTTTAGAAGATTCATTACCTTCTGATTAACACAGGGCCGGGCAGTTGTTTACTGACTGCTATTTGTTTTTGTAGCTGCCATGCATAGGCAAATCAGAGTGGTGGGAACATGTGGGAGCTAAACGGGGTAGGCAAGAGGCAGACACGTGAACTGGTGACCACACCTTCCTTGTCTGTCCCTATCAGCACTCTAGAGGCCACAGCAGCTTATTCTGACCCCATACAACCAGCAAAACAGCAATCACAGTTCTGAGCACCAACCTCTCCTCCATCAGCAAAGCCACAAAAGGCAGCGGCTGGCACGAACTCAGAGTAAAGTACAGGGAGGCAGCCAGCACTGTATTTCCAATCAGAGAAATCTGACTTTCCCCGTTGTAAGTGAATGGAGGGTAAATTCTGAGATGAGCCTGCCAAGCATACTTGCCCAACAACCATGGGGCCCCGGGGATGGGGTGGGGGTAGGGGGTGGGGGGCGGTAGTTAACTGAACTTTCCCAGACTTATTAGCTTACATAAACAGAGATTTGAATAAATGTTTTAAAAATGAAATTCCCTTGATACTCTGTAATCAGTAAATGTTCATTACAGAAACACAGCAAATATGCATAAAATTTCCCAAGTGATGTTCCAGCTACAAGATGGAAAAGGCATCTCCAACAGCAGGCTGAGTTACAAAGCATCCTCCGTCAAACAAGCCAGCTCTCCTCTCCCGGCTGGAGCCAGAGAAAAATAGATTTCATTTTGCCCACTCAGGGAATTTACAAATGAGCACACCCCCTCCCCGGCTGATGGATGTCTCTCTATAAATAATTAATCCTTGACCTTGCTTTGAGAAAGCCTTGGCATTTTAAATTTGGGATCTAAAAAAAAAAAAAAAAAAAAAAAAAAAAAAAAACAAGAAAAACAAGAATCAATACCTGGGGAACATAATTCACTGCCACAAAGCCAGATTCCCAGTAAATAAATTAATACACTGACCATTCATGTGTCCCATGGTGATGCCACCAAATGATGGGACAGGGTCAGGCTTTGAGGTTTTCTGAGTTCAAATGCTATTGGGTTATTGATTACCCCAATTTGACTCGGTCTTTTCAAGGTCTGAAGAGCACCTCTCTTGTGTGTCACTTTAGGGAGACCAATCTGCATAATCCCCCAGAACATGTTTCCACTCTCCTCAATAGGTGGGGGACCCTGTCTGCCTGCGAGTGGTGGGAGTCACCGGATCAAAAGAGAAGGCCCTGTAGGGTGTGATGGTGCGCACCTGTAATCCCTGCACTCAGCAGGTTGAGGTCATGAGTTCCAGGCCAGCTTGGGCTACATGCTAAGACCCTGTCTAAAAAGGAAAAGAAAGAGGTTCTTCTGTAAGAACCACGGGCCCTGGTTCAGTCTTTCCAACTGTGCTTTTGGGGGCATTAACAGGATCAGGAGACACTGGCGGTAGGACATTTTTTAAGAGTTCAAGTGTAAAAGGTTGCACTAGGGAGGGACTTAAGACAAGTCCCTCTACCCACCAGTGTAAGGTCAAAGTTAACCCTCAAAAAAGTGGACTTGTTGGAGGAAGCCCATGCCTGTGATCTGAAAGAGTTCATCTGCCTTTACCGCTTTACCCACCCTTACCACCTGGAGCTACGTCCTTGCCCGCCCCCCCCCCCCCCACTGAGTCTCCCACTTGCTTTCTGGCTACATCCATAGAAACAGAGAGTCCTAGAAGCCTGTTCCTCTTAGAGCCAATCAAGCTTAGGGTCCTGCTGGGAGGCGGATCAGAGATGCGATGCCGGGTGATGCTGAAATGGCCGCAGGTCAGGGTGTTCCAAGATCAGACCTGTATGCCTGCAATCCAGTACATAGTCCTCTGACTGTTCCAGGGCCCGGTGAGGGCCGCAGGACCCAGAGACAAGATGTACAACTAAAGTAAGATTTGGAGTCCTGCGCGGGAAATAGAGAGGTCACTTGATGCCCAAGCGCCACCTCTGGCCCTGCCCAAAATCGGGAACGCACCTTCACCTGGCCAGGCCGGCCTTGGCAAAGCAGCCCTGCTCAGCAGCTGGAGTTGCAGCCGCCGCTAGAGATGGGCTCGGTCCCGCCGCAAAGAGTATCATCTCACCGCCCCCTATTCCCAGCCGCCTGAGGTTCCAACTCCCGCACTCTGGACACACGCATGCACAAATCTCCCTGCTATCAGTGACGCACGCACACACACTTGCCCGGAGCTCAAAACAGGCCGGGGCCCTAGAGAGTTGCTGGGTGGAGATGCGCGCGATGGAGCGCAGGGACACCTTATGCCTCCCGGTAGGGAGCCAAGGTCGTCAGTGACTTCCCCTTTCGCCTTGCCGGCCCCAACTGACCCCTACGTCCCAGCTCCAAGCGCACGCCAAAGCCTTGGCACCTTGGACGCTCCAGCCCGGCCCTGGGGCGCTCGTCGCTCAGTGCCCAAAGCTACTTCCACGCACCCAGCATCCAGATCTAGGAGGAGGAGGAGCGAAGGTTCCTCAGGGAGAGCCCTTGGAGAGAGAGAGAGGCAGTTCCCAGGCGTGAAGAAAATCAAGGATCGAAAGTATAATTAAAGTTCCCGCTCATGGGGGCCGGTCCCCAAAGTGCAGCCAGACCCAAGCACCGCACGCCGTACCAGCACCTGCAGCTTGGGACTCCGATCCAGGTCCAGCAGCGAGGATTGCGCTCAGAGCGGTTCTGGTTCGCTCAAGGGTTCCCTGGGGCATCCCTTCGGGTGAGCAGCCCGCACAGGGAGGGAACGGGATGATGTGGGGCGCAGGCACTTACCTGGTGCGACCGGTGCTCTTCAGGCAACGGGTTCCTCCGGTCCGGCGCGGTTCTTGGCGGCAGGAGGATCCTCCCGGGCGCTGGGTCTCTTTCTTTGCGTAGTCCTAGGTCCTGGGAGTGGACGGTCGGCGTGGAGTCGGCGGCCGGAGCGCGCGGGAGAGGTTGCGGCTGCGTGCTCCTATTGGGTCTCCCCAGCACTGGTTGCGTCCCCTGTCTCCGCCGCCACCGCCCGGTCCTGTCTCCTCCCCGCGGTGCCACCGGATCCGGCTCCAGCGCCGGGAAGGCTCGCAGCGAAGTGCGAGCGAAGCCTCCGGCGAGGCTGGAAATAGCGCCGCGCCCGCCCGGCGCCCCGCCCCCAGCCCGGGCCCCGCCCCACGGCGGAAAGCCGCTACCGTGGTGGCGGGGCAGAGAAAGGGGAAATCTCTTTCTCCGATCGCTCAACCCTCCCGGGAGCTCACGGGCGCCACACCCACGCGCGCTCTGCGGCTCCCGCGGCCCCACTGGCCGCGCGCTCCGCTCCGAAGGAGATGCCGCTGGGCGCGGTCGGGCGACCGCGGGGGGTGGGGCGGTATTGGAGCGGGCAGCGCCGGGCTCGGGGATCCCAGAGCACTGGACTCTGGTCTGCAGCTGGGCTCCACTACGCAGCTTCTTTGCGTAGTGCCGGGTGGTGGCACCGAGTAACCCCACACTGACCTGCGGGGAAAAAAAAGAAAAGGCGCCAGCACGCAGGGTTGTATGCTCTAGACCCAACGCTGCGGGGGCGCAGGGCTTGCAAAGGGATCGATGCACGGAAGAGTCGGGTAGGTTCCCAGACTACAGTCCTCGTGGAATTCGATCAAGGCTTTGTCTCTTGTTGGCACTCACCCCCAAATTTCTGGGTCTGTAGTTAACCACAAGTGCCCAATGACACGGATTCTCGCTTGAGAACTTCATCCTTAAGGGTCCGCCTGACACCAGCCTGAGAGCTGAAGCAATCAAGCCCTCTCCATCCATACCGGGAAAGTCACAGGTCCACAGACACGCAGCACAAGGGTAGAACGAAGACTCGGTTTCAGGGCGGTGGATTCAAACCCTCGTTTTTTCCAGAGAAGCTGCAACCTGCAGGGGGCAATCAGGCGCTGAGAGGAAAGACTGACTAACTGTATGTCCATACCAACCATTCTAAGTCAGTCACTGCCTAGACTTGAAGGGGCATACAGACTACATTGCAAAATCATAACAAAACGCATGGAAACTTCCAGTAGAACAGAACGGAGGTTCCCTCCCTGAGATGACTGTTGTTTGGTTGGTTGGCCTAACTTCATCCTGCTGACCCACACAGGTGAGGAAGTTAGGGACTGAAATGGACCTGTGGCCATTGAGTGACCAGATAAGGGTGTAGCAGCCCTGGTAAGGACCAGAGCCACTCCTGAGCACAGCCAGGGAGCCCCTGGCACTGGAGTTGTTGGAAGGCCTGAGTGGTCTTGGGGCCTCTTCTGCGGCCTCAGTTAAGATCAGAGTATAGATGAGAAGACAAACAAGTATGCAATGACCTTCTTTCCATTGTTTTTGTTTTGTTTCTGTTTTGGAGATAGATTCTCTCTCTATAGCCCAGGCTAGCCTCAGACTTGCTGTGTAGCCCAGGCTGACCATGAACATATGATCTTCCTTTCTCAACCTCCAAGTGCTGGGATTACAGGCATGTACTACTGTTTCGGAGTATTTGTTTACATTTTGAAGACTTGTCTTTGCCAAAGCGCCTTCTGATTACTTTGATAAAGAGCTGACTGGCCAATAACTAGGCAGGATATATAGGTGGGACTTCCGGACACAGAGAGGAAGTAGGAGGAGAGGCAGAGAGAGACCGAGGAGACATAGAGGGAGTCATACGTGCAAAATGAAAGAAAGGATAAAAAGCCACATGGTAAAAATGGAGATTAATAGAAATGGGCTAATTTAAGTTATAAGAGCTAGTTAGGAGCAAGCCTAAGCAACAGGCCAAGCTTTCATAATTAATAATAATTCTCCATGGCATTATTTATGAGCTGGCAGCCCAGAGAAAAATCCATCTTTATATCACTACATCCAGCTTCCTTTTATCCCTTTTATTTTTGCAACAATGCAGCAAGTGCTATTATTCTTACCTTTTATATGAGGGAACCAAGGCACAAGATGCCACCAGGTTGTTACTGTCAACAAACCTGGATGGTGGTGGAGCCAGGATTGGGCTCAGCTGGGCATGCTGGTTTCCAAGTGGTTCATGCCAAGGGACCCTCTCTGGGTATCTCAAGGTGGTCTGAGGTTCCAGGCTGTGCTGTGACCTACACTGCTCCTCTGGCTGCAGCCGTTGCTTGTAGGAAGGAAGGCGTAAGTGTGTGTCCCGGAAGTCAAGTTCAGATGGAGTGAGATGGATATGAGGGACAGGACTCAGAGTCAGGGAGAATGGGGCAGGAGAAACATCAGGCTGTACCCAAACACTGTCAGAGCAGAGTGGGAGAGATGGAAACCAGGAAGGGGGTGGGCAGAGAGCTACCTCCCTTCCAGCCAGCCAAGGCTGCAGTCTCCATGGCTTCATGGCCCCTCCACGTCCAACCTGTCACTGCCCCCGGAGTCCTGGCCACAGCTGGACGGAACAGTTGCCAGTGGGGTCCTCATCTACAGATCGGCCTGAACTAACACAGGAATTTGGTCTCAGAAGCCTGATGGTCACCAGAACCTTTTCAGTGGTGTGCGCCCTTTGGAGGGTAAACACACTCATGCCCATACATACGTGTTTGCACACATTGGTGAGTGGAGGGATAATGGGAGCTTCCATCCCCAGCCTAGCTGCAAAGCTGGGAGGAGCCTTGGACAGCAATGGCCTTCATAGAACAAGTTTAAACAGGCTTTATTTCCCTAGAGCCAGTCCACACCGGCCTCCCCGTGACCGGTGAGCACAGCCAGTCAGACCGTTGTAGCTGCCCTGAGTACAGCAATCCTCCTGGGAAGGGCGGTTTTTCCATTAGCTTCTCCAACTGTACTTATTAGCCCTTATTTGCATCTAATATTCAGGCAGACACCAAGAGGCATCAACAATGCCTTTGACACGCTCCCCATTTCTGTGCTTTTTTCCACTCCTCCTTCCCTTGGGGGGAGTCCCGGAAGGAGGCCGGGGGGCCCTGGAAGGAACACGCAACCAGTTTTCCTCCTGAGATTGCTAAGGGCTGCAATGCCCTTTTTTGAAAGTCAGGCTCAGCCTCTGCAGTGAGGGAGGTGGAGACAGGCTGCAAAGCCCAGCCATGAAGCCCTGTGCCTGCTTGCGGGTTTTGATATGTGTGTCTCCACCAAAAGATTTGTGGCAAACACATCTCTTTGCATCCCAACTAAGGCGAACAGCCACTTTCATTGTATGGCCTGGTGAGTTCACAGCCTGAGCTCTCTGGAGCTGCAGAGGAGGCCCAAATGCCTCTCAACAGGAAGGAAGACAGGGAGAGGTTTTAGCTACAGACTACAGGCAAACCCCTTGCTCCAGTTTTGGGTTGACTTCTTGTTTTTCTGTATCACCTTCTCTGCCCGTGGACAGTCCTGTCCTCCTTTGCTTACAACTGAGGGTAACATGGCTAAGAGGCCAACACTGGAGTTTGGAAACTCATAGATAAAACTGAGTGTTGAGTCCTAAAACATTGAAAAGAAATATGGCAACGGCTGTGGGTGTGGCTCGGTGGTAGAGCCCCTGCCTAGAATCCCCCAGTGAGGGGCTGGGGTGTGGCTCAGTGGTAGAGCCCCTGCCTAGAATCCCCTGGTGAGGAGGTCTGGCTCAACAGATGAGTGCTTCTAGAATTCATCAGTGGTGAGCAAGGGGGTGTGCCTGGGTCCAGAGCACTTGCCTGGCATGCACAGAGTGCTGGGTTAGCTCTCCAGCACCCCAAATAATAATAATTGTCCTTGTTAAAATTAGTTGTAGTAAAACTATCTGTTGAGGTTGGTGGCTGTGGTCGTTCGAATGTAATTGGTCCCCATAAGCTTAAAGGGAGTGGCACTATTCAGAGGTGTGGCCTTGTTGGAGGAAGTGTGTCACTGTGAGGGTGGGCTTTGAGGTCTCCTATGCTCAAGCTACACCCAATGAGATAGTTCAATTCCTGTTACCTCCCTTTCAAGATTTAGGAGTCTCAGCCCCAGCATCACGTCTGCTTGCATGCTACCATGTCCCACCATGATGACAATGACTAAACCTCTGAACTGTAAGCCACCCAATGAATTGTTTCCCTTTATAAGATTACTGCAGTCATGGTGTCTCTTCACATGGAAGGGAACCCTAACTAAGATTGTGGCACACATACACATCATCCCAGACCTCAGGAGGTTGCAAGTTCCGGACCATCCTGGACTACGTATCTGCTTCAGAGCCAGCCTGGGCTACTTAATAAGGTCTTGTACTGAAAATCAAGTAATAATAACAAATAAGGAAACAGAAGTCAGAGCACTATACTGCGGAGAGGACTGGGGTGCTCTCTGTGGCCCATGGAAGAAGCGGAAGAGGAAAATGGGAACCAGCCTAATGCTAGCATGAGCCAGGTGGTCTCCCAAGTCTTCCAGTCCTTCAGATCCTGTTTCTTGTTTTCAAAGGCGTGTGTGCCAGGGGAGGGGGAGGCAGTAGACGCGGCTATAGCGTGAATGGTATGAGCGCTACTGGACTCTAGAGTATCTGGCATTGTGTGATCTGGCTGGTCTCCCTAAGCCACCAAAGTCAGCCGTGTCAGGGCATAATCTAGCTCCACCTCAAGCACGTGGCCCTGCCGTGGCCTCTGATGACTCCTGTGGTCCCCAAAGTCAGTCACATGGACGAATGAGCCAATGACATGCTGTTGATCAGGGTAACCAGCCAGGTGGCTCTTCCTTGGGAACATGGCTGCCTTCCCTAGCTGAGGGGCTAGCATGGATACATGGCCACAGCCTTTCCTTCACAAGCTTTGTCCTCTCTGTTAAATGAGAGTGAGATTGGGGTCCAGGTTCTTGACCCCTCTTTCAGGCCTGAGTTATAGACCCTGATTCTTGAAAGCACCTTGGCTGGGAAGAAAACTCAGAACCAGTTCTCTTAGCCACCTTACAGGGTGAGTATGTCTCCCAGGTCCTTTTCCCCCAATTCCCGTGGTATTCCCCTTTTCCATCACCCCTTGGATATACAAGGAATTGGGGAATTGTGGTGTGTCTTTCATTGTTGCATTGCCTGGGATTTCCCAATGTCAGCCACTGATGAGTACCCTGCGTTAGCATCACTGTCGGGGCATTCCCTTGTCCCATGTGTTAGTTACTTTTCTCCTTAATTTTTTAACCTGATTCCTGATATCACAGTGGTGAAGATAAGGCCACTGGAGGAGCCCAACACATTGCAGCAGGACATGGGTGGTAGCCTCCTTGGTGTGAGTAGATCAGGAAGCAAAGAGCTCAGGCTGACACTGCCTTCAAGGCCCACCTCCATTTCTGCTAGCTCAGCTACAGGCCCAAAGGACCCACCGCTTCCCACAACAGCGCTGCTAGCTGGGGACCAAGTGCT